AATGTTAAAGGTTAATTTACATTAAAACAAATTATCAGGTGTCAATGAAAAATCAAAACCAAAAAATCCTTATAAACGATTATCTAGAAAAGTACTTTATTTCGAATACTTTTGTTCATTATCAAGTAAAGTATTTAATTTAAAATACTTCTCTTGAAAATTTATTTGTGGGGATTGTTTGGTTTTGGTTTTTGATTGATACCTGATAATTTATTTTAACGTAAATTAAATTTGTTTAGGTGGTTTTTTACTTCTAAATTTTTTAAATTTTACCTTAAAGACCTTTCTCATTAAATATGCAATTATTTATCTAAATTGTTTGCTTTTATATATTAACAACTTTGACATTGATCAAATGAGTTACATTTTCTTATTGTGAGGTATTTTGAAATGTGTAGCATTGAGTATTTTTGTTAATTGTTTATAACAATTATTTATTTTTCTTATAGACATTTGACACTTTAAAACTTTATCGTAATTTAATTTTTAATTTTGTATTATCACTTGTTTGTTAAAAAGAAAATTATTATAAACAATTAAAATGCAAAACATTTCTAATTATAACTCTAAACTGTCTTATGCATACAAGAAATTGAAAAGAAAAGAAACACACCCCTCAAATAAATATAGCGCTAATAATATATAAAACACTCACCGTTGTGACCACACCTGTCCACCTTTCCTCTCCTAGCAGGAACATCTCGAATGATCTCCTTCCATGAGTGTGGAACCGAAACTCCCCAACAGCACCCTTCATAAGTGTGGAAAGCCAAGAAAAACTGAAAAATGTGACTACCATCTCCCTCCTAGGAGAAAAAACACTTAAATTACACAATTATAAGACTTTTATAACTAATTTATTTAACAGTTACATTGATATATAAATCACACTAAAAGTAAATAAATAACTGAAAAACTTACCCATACGATCTTGATCTTTCTGACGTTTCTCTTTCAACACGGGCATCCTAACGAACCATCTTCATATCACAGGAAATGGAGTCTAAACGTAACTGTAACAAAAGAAAACGTTCATTAATTACTAAAATCAAAAAAAGAAGGTACGTAGAATTTTATGATACCAACAATCTTTTACAGCACCAGACCAGCATATTGGATAAAACAACAAAAGAATTTTCAAATTAGTTTCAGCAATTCTATAACAGATATACCCACAGATAACAAAACTGCAAACTTATTTTGTCCAAAAATATAGTATTAATTGTTAAAATAAAACGTTTAACTGTTATTTACTTACATTAACAATTGGAAAATGTTTTGTTCTAGGTCGATCGTTTAAGCAACTGAATAGTAGAGTAAAGAAAGAGCAAGTATTCGGGTAATAAAGGATAGAAAATGCGCTCGGAAATGACAAAGTACCCAATATTCTCAATTACCTACGATTTTTATTAGGATATTTAAGTATTAAGTATAGATTATCATCATTAAATGTTATAATAAAAGTGCACATTCAATTAATTTTCGGGAAAGTTAAATCTGTTCTACAACAGACAACTGGATTAGGAATAAATATTTAATTTTTATACTTCAAGAGATAAACAGAAAGTGTAGGGCAGCTAAGGAGTATTGAATTGACATTAGGTGTAAAGAAATAATAGAAAAGTTTGAAGCAGGCAAAACTGATAAACAAGAGGAGTAAGGTACAGCTATAATACTATAAGAAACGTGGATATTTGAAAAAAATATTAAAACCTGTGAACAAACCAAAAGCTAGACTTATTAGCAAAGGAAAACACAAAGTTAGAAGAATTAGTATCCCCACAATGAGAGAACAATTTGACTTGTCATTAAAATGTAGGGATGAGATACAGAGATACAAAAGTGCAGAAAAGTGTTAATTATACAGTTTGTTTAAAAAGCAAAAAGTAATTACAAAACGTGCTTTTAGAGCAATTTCTTTTTTCCCCTTTAAAATTATTATTGTACTTTCCACTGTTAAACACTAAAATTAAACACTGAAATAGTTATCAATTAATTGCCATTTTTAAAAATTAAATACATCTAAATTGTTGATTTTTTCGATTTCAAAAAGTGCAAAACATTCCGTATTTAAATCAGATCCTTTTCCACCAGTGAAACGCCGAAATGACCGGACTTACAGCTTCGAATTTTCGAAACTGTAGGCCTGGCCATTTCGACGAGGTCACTGAGGGAGAAGGATAAATACGGAGTCGCGGTAAATTATATAAGCTAGCTATCCAGNAAAATGTTATCGTTATTGTATTTTGGACACGATGATCAACAAAGAAAAAGTTCGTAATGTTATGAACCCTGAGGAAAATGGTTTTTTTAAAATCTTTCCAATTTATTTTCTAGGAGTGTGTAGAGACAGCGTAGTGAACGACATTTGTAGAAATTTGATACTCATTGTGAAAACAAATAATGTCCGACAAGGTCCTTTTCTACTAAGGATATCGACTTATCAAACTAAAGTAAGATGTAAAGCAAAATGTGTTCTCGGTCAGTAATCTGATTTTGAATTCATCTCGCTGAGTAGCATGGCCTAGAGCCCTAAAGACTTAGACCATTGCTTAACTTTCTGGATTCTGGGTCCTTCTGACCTGGTCAACGTTAGTTTATGATATGATATGAGCAGTAATCATATTCCATAATCATTCATGTCTCTTCTTCCTTTATTTCGTCCGTTTCATCTTTCTCACCCCAGCTACCATCCACCTACTTCCACGATTCCTAAAAATGACCTTGGCCCTACCCTCCGACATAGTCCAGAGCAACCAACAGTAGTAGCTCATGCGAATTAAACACCAAAAAATAAGAACTGATCTGTAACATATAAACCACTTAGATATAGTTCAGACGTTCAAAATTGGCACAGTCTGCAATAAAACTGATGCATTTACTTTGTTCTTTCAAATTACTAATTAGATTAGGGCGGTTGCTGACACAATGCGTACTTTTACTCACGACAGACGTTGTAAGGAATATCGTAAGCATAGAAAAGAGATGTCAGGTGGGAATTGCAGCGGACACAAATAAAGAAAAAGGAATAACATTACACCAATTGAAGTGTAACAGAAAGAGACACAGACAAGTAGAATTTGATATATGACGTTCATTATCCCAAAGTTTATTTTTGAATTTATTTTCCATTATTTTTAGGCACTGTAAGAGCGTTACAATCAAAATTGAAGAGTTCCTGATTCCCTACTTTTCTCCAACCTATTTAAATAAACGTTGTAGAAAGAAAGAAACGCGATGTGTAGGTATTCAATTTCCGAAAAGGTTTCGGTTAAAAATAAAGCTTTCTATATTGCAGAAAATTGCTTGCGATTAGTTAGAAGGAAACCAGAGAACAATATAGCATTGCCAAACGAACGGTTGAGCATTTGTATTGCCGAGAATAAACCCAGTCCGGGGTTAATTCCTTGCAAGATTTTCGGATATGTCAGCTGGTCGTTGTTGGGGAGTTCATTACTATGGCAAAGTGGCCGTGTAAGAAGCTAATGTTTGTTTTAAATAACCTCATACATTACATTTTTATTTCGCCGTTTCGCGAGAAAATGAATTCCACGGGCGAAGGGCAAGTGTGCATGTGATGTGAGTGAATATATATATATATGTGTGTGTGTGTGTGTAAAAGATGATATGAGTGTGGAAGAGAGAATAATACAGAATTGGCAGGAACAAGTAGTCGAGGAGAGAAAAAAATGTGGATAAGTCGGTTAATGTTAGGTACCAGAAGATAACAGTAGATAAACAAATATGGACATAGTACGAGGAAAAGGAAGAAACGGTAAAAAAAGGAAGTGGATATTTCGGTGGGAAAAATAGAGTGAGCGGAGACGATGATGGGAAAAAAGAAATGTTAAAGAATGTTTGAAGCTAAATATTAGAGAATTGGATAGGAGAGTGTTACAATAATAAATGGTTTAAAGGTGGTGAGGACCACAGGAGAGGAAAATAAAATAAATAGTTAGGTTCAGAATAACAGAATAATAAAGCACAAGTAAGAAAAGGGGGGAGTTACGAGAGAGGTTGGAATACTAGAAATAAGTGGTAGAGGGGTTGGTAAGGGAGGAAGTTGTAAAAGAGATAGATGAGCTAAAAAGGAAAAAAGTGGTGGGGCTAGAAAAGGTTATGGAATTTTGAGAGATAAGAGGACGAAGAGGAAGGAAAGAAACAAAATGTGAGGAATTATGCATATCTAGGATATATGCTGTGATAATAATAAACGTATCATTATATTACCAATTAAGTAGCTTAGGAGAGGGCAACTATGGGGAGCGTATAGGGTTAGGTCAGAAATTATGTGTGTGTCGTAATTAGAAATAAATATGTCAGATTCTGTAATAAGAAGGGAGACTATATATAAGAAGATGAGGGAAGAAGCGATAAAAAGGATAGTAAAATATAAGTAGAAGATGGGAAGGCTAATAGAAGGGGATATCAGGAAGGAAATATGAAGAAAACAGGGAATCGAAATACGGACGAAAAGTAGATATAATAGAGAGGAGGAGAGGGCTTTGAAGATATTAAAAATTAATCAGGAGCAGGCGTGAGCGTAATTGAGGGAAGAATGTCAACGTAGGAAAATTGATGAGGAAGAGATGTAGGGAAATAAGGGGAGAGGATCTAAAAAAATTAGAGTCAAGATGCGTAAACATTTTGTAAAGCGACTGGCAAAGGGAGGGAGGGAAACAGAATAGGACGCACGGTATAGAATATGTGACAGGGAGGTAGAATGTCTAAAACATGTGCTAGGAGCTTAGGAGGATGTGAGGACAATAGAACTGGGGGAGAATTGGTGAATCGAGATAGGGGTAGCAATGTTTTCACAAATATGGAAAAGTGTTTGTTTGATATTAACGTGTTCTCCAATTTAATTATTTTTAATACCAACCAACAATCTTCTGTGCCACCGGCGTATTGCATAAAACAACAAAAGAATTTACAAATTCGTTTCAGCAATTCTATAACAGTAGTACCCACAGATAAGAAAACTGCAAACTTAATTTGTCCAAAAATAAAGTATTAATTGTTAAAATAAAACCTTTAATTGTTATTTACTTACATTAACAATTGGAAAATGTTTTGTTCTAAGTCGATGGTTTAAGCAACTGACTGGTAGAGTCAAGAAAGAGCAAGTATTCGGGTAATAAAGGAAAGAAAATGCGCTCGGAAACGATAAAGTACCCAATATTCTCAATTACATTTGAATTTTATTAGGATATTTAAGTATTAAGTATAGACTATCATCATCTTTCAAACATTGAAGGAATTTTCAAAAATAATACGTGTTTTAAATGTTATCATAAAAGTGCACATTGTTCTACTAATTTTCAGGAAAGTTAAATGTGTTCTACAACAGACAACTGGATTAGGAATAAATATTTAATTTTTATACTTCAAGAAATAAACAGTAGGGCAGCTAAGGAGTATTGGATTGACATTAGGTGTAAAGAAATATTAGAAAAGTTTAAAGCAGATAAAACTGATATACAAGAGGAGTAAGGTACAGCTATAATACCATAGGAAACGTGGATATTTGAAAAAAATTCCAAAACCTATAAACAAACCAAAAGCTAGACTTATTAGCAAAGGAAAACACAAAGTTAGAAGAATTAAGATCCCCACAATGAGAGAACAATTTGACTTGGCATTAAACAATTTAATGAATATTTAATAAGACACCAGTTGCCGATGGGGTACAGGCGGAAATATCAAAATAAACAGGTGAAATATTAGAGATCATATACATATTTCAACCGATTAGATTTTAGGAAAATCCCAGAGGACTATATCAAAATGTGCTAAAGGTCATGCTAGAATAGAGAGCGCGGATAAATGCCCAAAATTTAGAATAATCAGAAAAGGCTGATGAGAATGTTAAATAGGAAAAGTTAAATACACTTGAAAATGTAGGGATGGGATACAGAGATACAAAAGTGCAGAAAAGTGTTAATTATACAGTTTGTTTAAAAAGCAAAAAGTAATTACAAAACGTGCTTTTAGAGCAATTTCTTTTTTCCCCTTTAAAATTATTATTGTACTTTCCACTGTTAAACACTAAAATTAAACACTGAAATAGTTATCAATTAATTGCCATTTTTAAAAATTAAATACATCTAAATTGTTGATTTTTTCGATTTCAAAAAGTGCAAAACATTCCGTATTTAAATCAGATCCTTTTCCACCAGTGAAACGCCGAAATGACCGGACTTACAGCTTCGAATTTTCGAAACTGTAGGCCTGGCCATTTCGACGAGGTCACTGAGGGAGAAGGATAAATACGGAGTCGCGGTAAATTATATAAGCTAGCTATCCAGCCACTCTTTCCGAAGCCCCAAACCTCATACAATGAACCACCTAGGCGCCATCAGCAGTTCATCTGAGTGAGACAACTTACTCAAGTGACCGTATAATATACCTAAGGCTAGCTGCTACAAGCGAACTATATGTACTTAGTAAAAGGAAAACAATGGCGGTGAAAAGGTTAAACTAAAAGACATTTTTTCACGCCTATTATACAAAATTTTAAACAAAATTTATATTGGGTAGGTGACAAATGTAAATTAGAAGAAAATTGTAGAACAGTTTTTTTGAAAAATGTTTGCAAATACTAATTTTACAGACTTCTTTAGTTTACCCTCCCAAAACATACTTATATTAATGAAAACAAGATTAAACAAATTTTGTTTTATACTATGAAAAGGTAAAAATTATTATTTTGTTAAAATAGTCGTACAAATTTTGAATTTGAAAACTTACGTACATATCATACGTATACACGTTATTTTATAAAAATTAACGAATAAAACCAAAATTCTTTTACGTAATTCACAAAAGTTCGTAAAGATCATTTATAAAAATATATTTTGTCCTTAAAAGAAATTCTTAATTAAAACTATTGTGTAATTCAGTGTTCACAATTGCAATCATACAACTAGTACTTGCGCGTTTGGATTCACTCTTTGTTATCAAATTGAGACATCCCTAATGTAATAATTAAGGAGCACCGTTATTATTTAAAACATAACAAACACTAAATTTAACGATGACGAACATGCAAGGTAATGATCAAAACGTATGATAACTCTTATTTCAATAACTCACCACTTTTCGTAATCCTAATCCTAAGTGCAACTTTAGCCCCAATCATTGTTCAAATTCACATTGATGATTACACAACACGATATCGGATATGTTTTCTTTACTAATCTACGAAAACTAACGCGATAATTCAATTAATTAATAGCACTCGATACTACCCATTAACATGGCGCCGAATTAATAATAACAGTAAATTGTAATATTATTTTCTATTGTTCGTGTTGGATCGGAGTGTTTTTCTTTTACAGGAAATGTTTCAGTTTCCATCTCTTTCTCACTCTCATTATATCTATCTCATTCTTTCATTCTTTGACGAAGCAAGCCGTTTTGTTTATGACGAATTCGCTTTTATCAGTCATGAAAAAACACAGACAAGTATATGTCGCCTTGAAAGAACAAAAAAACGTTTACTCGATGAATAAAAGGATATCAAAAAATAAAAAGATGTACCAAGGGAGCCAATATATGAGGTTTCAGTAAAATGAATTCGGCTGTTTAATTTTATCGCGCCAATTCTACAGAATAATGTGTTAATTCTAGTAACGCCTATCAACACTTTATTCGATGTTTCTTTTGGACAATAAACAGCAACAGGAGGTCGTATACCATATGAAGAAAACGTTCTTTTTGTCCAACACAAAGATTGATTTGATCAATTAATGCGGCAAGTGACACAATTATAATGCCATTAAATATGTTAAACAGAAATTGAGACTTGTCCCAACCATTACAATATTTATAAGGATTAGCAAATCTGAAGGTAACAAAGTCTCTAGAAGTCTATTCTAGAATCACTTCCAACATTGTGGATATAAGAGGTTAAATGGTTGATTACTTTTTATACTTTCGGCCTGTTCTATTGTAACTGTTCTACTTCCTTTTGCGTAAATATTAAAGGGTGTTTTGAATGGCCCAAGAGGTCTAACATGATTTATTGCGTTACCTTTCATTTTATACTCAAAAATAACATTATAGTTCTAAATTTTGCAACGTTCTGTATTCGTAAATTAAATTAAATTGAATAATATAAACATCATCAATATCACAACTACAATATTTACTACCCCCCTTGAGGCAAAACAATCAAATGTTTCGTGTAAGCATACGTAAACGAGTCTGGGTCTATATTCGCCCACTGTTTCGATAAGAAGTTCTTCCGCAAGATAGATGAAATCACAAACACCAGTGTCCACATTCAAATGGACTATAATTAGGTTGGTTTTTAGTGTCTGTAACTTAACATCGAAATGACAAATTATATAATTCAAACCGTCTGTTGTTTTATGATTTTTGTTTCGTGTTGTTTTGGAAAGGGAAAGTTTGTGGAAGAAAAGACGGAATGTCCCAAAATCAAACCCGTTAGGAACTTTGATTTGAACGAGGTAAGAAAAAAAATATGCATTAAATTTTTGATACTTTAAAACAATTGAAAATAAATTACTACAAAGAAAAACCTTTAAATTTTTAATTTTCTACGAAATTATAGTGCCTAACTGAATACGCAGTTATATGAACTTCTTTGTACTGAACAAAGTGTTAATGAGTCATAACATCATAACGTATCATTTCCGACTAATTACTCACAAAATACGTACATACACAAACAACAATTTCTAGTAAATACTTAAAAGTTCTAGTGTTATTAATAAACATGAATATGCTGGAAAAAAACGAATATGCTACACGCGCCAAGGGTTTCATGCCTGTACTGTTAAGTAGGGCAATTTCAAAAAATTCTATAGAAAATAACCCCTAATGTTTTCAAAATGAAAGTTTGTTAATACTCGACCTTTCAAATGACAATAGTACGCACCAAGGGTAGAAAACACGGCATTCCCTTTTGCCAACGAGGACGGTTAACCCCTTGATTTCAGGGATGAATGAACAACATAAATTCCTAAAGATAATTGATGCATTAATTGCATTTGCTTTACCGGGCCGTAAACAACAGTGAAAACAACCCTATGTTGAAAACATTAACCTTGAGAAAATCTTGCACTTTCCTCCCTGATATTAGGGAAAAAATGAGATATGGTAAAAAAATGTACTTATTATTCCCCGAATGTTAGCTCTCTTTAGAAGTTGAATGAATGGTTGAACTATAAGTCGAGAACGAATCATAGTCCTTTTTCTACTGCAACATTAAATATCCTGAAAATTAGTAGGCACTCTAATTTTGGGATAATTTAAACCCACATTTTTCGTTAAAAAATTATGTATGAAGGAGAAAATCTCAAAAATTACTGAATCGAGTTTAAAAATTATTTCAATGTTTGAAAGCTTCAGCGTTTCATATGATCGTAGCCTATTTTTAATACTTAAACATAATAAAATTATAGGTAGTTCCTTTCCGAGCGTCTTTTCTATCCTTTATTATCCGAATACTTGCTCTCTCCTTTTCGCTATCAGTTTCGCCTGAACGATTGGTCAGAAACAAAACATTTTACACATTTTAATATAAATAGCAATTAACAGTTTTGCTTCAGCAATTGGGTAAAACGAATTTAATTTTTGAAAAAATTAAATTTTGATTTTGTTACCTGTGAGTATCAATGTTATAAGAATATGTACACATGTTCGTTTAATTCGTTATGTACGGATGGAAATCTTAAAAATCCTGAACTCAATTTGAAAATTCTTTCCTATAGCTGTTCAATATTTCCAGTTTTCTTTTAACTTTTTTATCCCTTTAAACATTACCTACCATACTAATTATAACTTTGTATAGGTTTGTAATGTAATTCGATAATTCTATCTCATCCGGTATTACAACTTTATACAACTAGTTATCTGCATTAATTCCTTGCAAGTATTAATATTAATCTTGGTACAGAAACTCTTTAAAGCAAATAATAAAAGAACAGGCACTTTACATTCAAAACTACCCTTTAATAGAAGTTTTGTTCGGGTTCATCAGGTTTTCTTATAACGGAAAATTTTAAAAGTCATAAATCTGATACTTAATTTTTTACAGATGTTAGGGACATGGTATATTATCCAGTACTATGCAAGTTCGGAAGAAGCTTTGCCGTACCGGTGTATGCGGGCAGAATTTTCAATATCGTCATTACCTCTGCACGTTACGATGAATTTCACGTACAGTTTTGTTGATGACCCTATCAATGAACATTTATTCGGTAATATCACGTGGACAGTTCCTGATACAATGCAGCCAGCCCATTGGACACATTCAGAGGATACATGCAAGTCCTTTTAAATGTTAATAAGTCCAAAATAATACACCAAGTACTTACACAAAAAAAATTATGTTCGAAAAACATTGAATTAAGGAAGCAAATTAATTAGAAAATCCCAAAGTCACAGCGTTTTGTTGGTTGCATTCTAGTTTCTTCAGAGAACTTAAATTTACAACAATATGGTCAAATAATAAAATATGTAGGCACTCAATATCAAATATACACAATTTTTGTTTTCATTGTTTCGCCACAATTGTTATGAAATTCTGGCGTTTTCTTTTACGTTTTTTATATGTTTTTACTGTCCAAAATTTTATCTATAATAGTTTGATGTTTGTATAATATTTAACTAGTATTCGTCTAACTCTTGTAACTCCACACTAATAACTACGAAAAAAAACTCACCGTTCAAATTACGAACACGGACGTAGCCGGACGTTCTTTTTGCATCATTGTGCTTTGACACCAATAAAACTGTTTTATAATTTTTAACCGCGGTATATGCTTTTCTTTTATTTTTCCACTTCCATCTAACTATACCTAGTTTTCTAATTAAACATTTTTTTGTGTATTACAGACGAAGGGATTTATAACACGTATGTGCTTGATTCCGACTATTCTACTTGGGCCCTTCTAATGCACTGTGCAGAAAAATCAAAAAGTCCAAGATACTTATCTAGCTTCATTATGAGTAGAGAGCCATTATTAGGAATCAATGTTATTTCTTATTTAAGAGAAAAACTGCCTAAATATGACATCGATTTAGACTACATGTTTGATATGTCTCAAAAAGATTGCGACGTGTCTTTAATGGATTTGGATGTACCTCCATCCCTTTTAGCTAATAGAATTTTGCCTTCGACAAGAAGACATCCCCTAAAAAGCCACCACTCTATTTAGGTTAATGTAAGACCAATATTGGAATATTTTATGTATAGAAGTAGTATTTTATGAAATAATCTTAATAAAACAATTAATTATGATAATTGCACTTACATCATTAATACTAAGGTATAGTTTAAATCCAGAGATGTGATTTATTTGAAATACTTGCATTTAAAATGCAAAAACAAAATAAAATACCTATTTTTATTTTGCATTTAAATACTTTTTGAGAAAAAAAATGTATTTTATTTAAAATACTTTTCCAAATGTATCTTCTATTTGCAAAATGCAAAATATATATACGATGTTGATTTTACATCAATAAAATTATTTGCAACCTTATTTTGGCTCTGATCTTTCACGCTAAGCAAACTATTTTGTCATCAGTCTTTTTTCCAATTAAAACAGGTGACAAAGGTAAATAAGGAAGCATATAGAAGAATTATTTGTTGCTGAACTGAAGAAACTATAACATAAAGATTGAAAAACGGTACCTCAATTATTTCAAACAGAAAAATATGAATTAGACTTAATCTTCGCAGCTGATGATATAGTGTAAACACCACTATTAGTCTAGATAAACTCCAATATTTAAAAAATGAGCAAATGCCTGTAAGGTTTTCTCAAAAAATATTTTATACTTAAGTAAATGTAGAAAAAAATCTATAACATAAAGATAGAAAAACTACATCCAATCACTTCAAACAGAAAAATATAAATCATACTCAATCTTCCCAGCTGGTGATATGGTGCAAACACCACTATTAGTCTAGATAAACTCCAATATTTAAAAAATGAGCAAATGCCTGCAAGGTTTTCTTAAAANTCAAAGTATTTTGAAAGTTCGGTTAGTTTAACAGTAATTTCTACGTTCGGTAAACTTTTTTTCTTATTATATGTACGTACTTTGTATATACAATTTTATTTAAAAGGGAATAGCCAAGTAATACTAATCTAAGCTCAGTAAGACTGTACACCTTGTTAGTTTTTATATCCTACAAATCGAGATAATTCTTACCATTCCGTGACTGCCTTATCTGATAAAAAAGTCATTGGGTTAAAGACAAGTTAGGGTAAACAATTTTCTAATGGAATGGAATGGTGATGTTATGATGTAGGAATTTAGGACTATCAAAATAAAAGATGTATCAAAACGGTAACATTTACTGGCCAAAAATGATTACATTCTCAAAAATTTGCATGAAAAATTAAATGGAAAATTAAGGTGATGAAAATCATAATTCATAAAGCTAACAATTCCTCTTGTTTTAATAATAAAAAATTTAAATAAACCAAAAATAAATAGGTGCACGCTTTTAGAATTTTTTTAAATGTGATTAAAGAAAAACAAAGAAAATACAAAACTCTATAATTAGACAAGGTTTAGGCATAAATAAACGAAAACATTAAATATTAATACAGGATGTACAAATGTAAAACCGACTATTTTTCTGTAAGTACAACATATCAAAATATTAAAACAAATTGCAATTTTTTTAGTTTAAATAGCTTAAATCCCTAAGTTTCTAGTTGAAGACTGAAGTAAATTTATTCTTTTTTTTATTAAAACACAAGAATTGCATCTAGTCAGGTAACTTGTCTGACTTTTGCCTATTATTTAATGGTAATAATAAATGATCCATTGCTAATCTTTCAAGTATTTACTTTAGACGGCAGCTTCAATTCATATATTTAGCGAATATAAACCCAAAGTTAAATGTAAAACAATTTTTTTAATCAACCATTTGTGAATTAAGATTATCTATTTGTTATTGGCTATTATATTTTCTAAATTTTGGTGAAAGTCGCATCTAAATCGGTTCAGAAATAACCAAGTTATCCTTTTTCAAAATTTTCTTTAACTTTATTATAAGTGGCGCCTAGTATTGTTTACATCGGCATTCCTTTCATGAACTTGACCTAGCTTCTCCGAGAAAAATGATGGCCGCCGACGTATTAGCCAATGAAATGCATCTAATCAGTCTATAGCAAGGAAAACTGCGTACCTGAGTTAGTCACCCTCGATGCTTGGTAGGATGTACTTCGTTGCATAAAATTGTAGGTTATCATTACGTATTCAGTTATTAGTTTAAATATGTAATGCTCTCAAAATGCTTTGTAGGTTTATTTAGACAAACATAGGTTATCTACACTTAACATTCACACTAAATTACCAATAAAATATGTTAATTTGGTGAAAATTTCTACCCTATTTTAAATTCCATTTTCATGTTTGCACATATTCCACACCTGGCTGAATGTACCAATGTACCATGGTTGAAAAGTTGCAATGAAAAAGAAGAAACAAGGCAGTTAACCTAACAAAAGTAATTATAAAATGATGTTAAATAGTGCTACTAAAGGGCTGGATAATGATCAAACTAGCAATAAATATATTTGTATAAATTGTGGATTTCAAGTAAAAGAACTATACAAACAGTACAGCTCAAATGTATTAAAATTAACAGTCTGTGTAAGTTGTGATACAAAATTCGAAGGCCAATTTTTATTAATTTCTGTCTTATTTTAGGAAAACTGCTATTGTGAAGCTGATAAATACATTGAGTTTGATTTAGTTTTAGTAATTATTGATCTTGTTTTACTTCAAAGGGAAAGCTATCGACATATAATTAACAACACCGAATTTAAGGTTAGAATTTTGATAACAGCAAATAGTTTATAACAAGATAAAACAATGGCTTTATTTTTAAGGGACTGTGGAAGTTGGCTTTCCTTATTCTCGCCATGGAGGCTTATGCTAATTGGTCTTTAACACCTACACCAACAGCAGAAATTACTAATGAATTTTACATTGGTGATTTCAAATTTTATAGAATATTAGCTGGTGTGACCGTAAGTGGGTATTAATCACTAACAGTTTTTTAATATGCCTAAAGTTATTTTTTTATCTACTTTCTTTATATTGTTACAGAACATGCCTGCTTCTCAATATCTACATTTCTTCTGACATACTTCCTAACAAAGTTCTATAAAAGGAAGCAATATTCCCCAATAATTTTACTAAAAACTGTTACATTGTCATCTTTTGGGGTTTTCCTACTTTTACCGTCAGTTATATGGGACAATGGTGTCCATGAATTCCATTTTACATTTGTGCTTTTTTATACAACACTGTCACAATTATTTGCTTATGAAGGTAAAAAAGCATAATTTAAATTGCTTATTAACAAAATCATGCTCGTTTTCTTTTTCAGCAATTTGCAACTTCTCCAAATTATGGTCAATTTTAGTAATCGTAATATCAACTTTTTGCAAATTGTACTCTGGTGTATTATATGAAAATGTAGAACGCAATATATTAGAACTATTTCCACTTCCATTTTAGAAAAATGATATAAACCAAATTGAACATGATAAGTAATATTTAAATGTTATTTGTTATTAAATTTGTTTTCTAATAAAAATTTAAAGTTTGAAAGTAGTTTTTTTTTTTTCAAAAAAGAAAGACAAAAATTATTGAGTAAGTGAAAGCTGTCACTAAATTTTGTTAGTTTTTNTATTGACTTTTGAAAGCATACGTATAATTTCTAACATGTAATCATAAAAAATGGGCGAAGAAAGCACCCAATTTGCAAGTGGAACTTGGACATGGGATGATCTTACAAATGAATTAACTTTTCAGAGGTAAACGGTATTGATTCCCTCTTGAATTAAATTTAATAAAAGAATTTATTGTGTTGTTTCTGCAGCGCCAATCAGGACGATCAACAAGGCACCGCACAGGGTCAAACTGCGACAAAAGTTGTCGTTCAAAGTGCATTCGAAGTGAAATTTCGAGACACAGTGGACAATGTCGAAAAAGTATCAGTTTTCATTATTCACACACGATTTTGTTTTAACAATAAAAAATATCTTAATTATTTATTAAAAGTTTAAACTAATGAAATTAACAGATAAGATTCAGAAGACGTTTCCAAAGAAAAGCTAAAATAGGAACGACAAGTTATATTATTCTTCAAGACATAAAGGACGTTGTCCTTTTTCTTGCTTCCCCGAAAGACTTAACGACCAAATTTATACGATTTTTTCACACACAAACGGTGGATTCATTTTTAAGAGCAGCAATGGTATACTTTCAGTATTATATTCAGGTAAACTATGTTTAAAATAATGAATTTTACTAAATAATTAAATTGTTGGTTTGCGCATAAACAATAAATTCGAAAAATTGTTGATCCATCCTTAAATTCCATATTTTAATAGTTGACTATCGATACTAATTAACATGATCTCTACAAGTAATCGAAATTTAATCGTCCTTGGCACAGAGGTGTATGTAATTTAAGGTGTGGGAAACTTTAGTTGATAGAAGAGAAGAAGCAAAACGTAAAATACCGCACTTAGGAGTAAAAGGGATACTAGGAACTTTAAGTGATGAATTATCCTGTTTGCGCTGTGTATTGGCTCGTGAGTATACGTGTATGTTAACTGGAGCAGGTGAAATGTTAGAATTTCATCACATGGGCAGCATGCGAACCAAATCATTAACTGGCAAAGAGCGGTATCTTTTTGAAGTTCTTTTGTGTATTACAATCAGAGTTATTTGGATTGGGATGCAGAGAAAATATTTAAATCTTATTGGTAAATTAGAACTGTACTGAAATGGATTTAAAGAAACATTCCCTCTTAAGTTATTTTTATCTTAATCTCATAATAATTATCTTCTCTATCTTATTAATGTGTAATAGATTATAAAAATTATCTATTATTAGAACGAGAGCTAAACAGGCTAATCCGTGGGAAGCTTTTTAATATTATTCAGCACAGAGATATTCGTTTAGGAATAGCTTTAGAAAAGAGCAAAGAAGAAGACAGGGTGTTAGACGGAAAATATTGTGTCGACGAACGGAAGCTGTACCACAGATCACCCCTGGCACAAGAGCTAATACTAGCAGAGCACGATTATCGACTACTTGGAATTGGAGTTAAAAACTTCACCCCGTATTTAAACTTTACATTTAATAAATACATAAACAAATAATGTAAAGTTCTACAGGAAAGATGAATTAGTTAAATACCTCGAAATAGCATTTTCTGCACCAGAAACAGTACTTTTTGAAAAGGGGATTCAAGTAGGCATTCTGGGTATGCCCTCTAAATGTTTCGATGCAATGCTTTACTATAGAGGGAAAACAAGCATTGATGAAAAGAGAAATTTTCACATTCCAACCTACACTTCAGTAAGGTAATTTCTAGTTAGTAATACCTACTAAAACATAAGTAACTTTCTAGAACATGTGTTTTTTAGAGATGAAGAAGTAATAGAAGAATTTCCCACCGAAAAGCCACTTTATGAAGACAGTCAAGAAAGAAAACTGATAAGACAGAAACAGTGTGATTTATGGGTCACCCATGTTAAAACGAGTCAATCAGGAAAAGCAAAAGACGCTATTCCTTCTGTTACAGTCATTTCAACAGCGAGTACCTTAACTATTTAAATTATGTGTATTCTCTTGCAAAATTTTTTGTGACTGAATTGAATCGTTTTGAAATATGTGTACTAATCATAAATAATAAATACTGTAACACATACCCCTTTATAATTTTCTCACTTGCGATTTTTCCACTAAATTATCTCTCGAATCGATTGCGTTTGCAGTATGTTACGCCGTTTCTCAGATCTCCTCAGGGACAAATATGTACCTGAAAAAGAAAACTCTAATAAGTAGAAAATGACTACAATTTAAATAAATTAGATCCCTAAGTTAATTTCTTATTAATCGTCGAAGTAAATCTGAATTAATTTTCTTTTCTTTTAAGATACAAAGGTCTGACGTGTGATTTATAGCTATTATTTAATGGTGAAAATAAATGATAGGTTACTAATCTTTAAGTATTTTTTTATTAGACGGTTGCCTCAATTCATATACCTATTTAGAGAATATAAATCCAACAAGATGTTATACAATTCTTCTACTCGACGACATTTGTGGATTAAGATTGTCTATTTCTTATTCGCTATTAGATTATCTAAATTTTGGTGAAAGTCGCATCTAAATCGGTTCAGAAATAGCCAAGTTATCCTTTTTTAAATTTTTCTTTAACTAATTATTATAAGTGGCGCCTAGTATTGTTTACATCGGCATTCCTTTCTTGAACTTGACCTAGTTTCGGCGAGCAAAAAGATGGCCGCCGACGTATTAGCCAATGAAATCCATTTAACCAGTTTATAGTATGGAAAACTGCGTACCTGAGTTAGTCACCCTCGATGCATTATGGGATGCACTTCGTTGCATTAAATTTTAGTTTAACATTACGTAAAAAACTGTAATTACTATGTTCTGCATTCAAATTGCCGTTTCATTGGTAATAAATATTTTAATCCATTAATAAAACTTCCAAAATCAATAAAAACCGTTTATAAATTGTTTTATAAAAATTACGTAAAATAAATAAAATACAAAATGTTACATCAAATCCTATATCAAAATTCTTATAATTTTGTATACCAAAATCCGCCGTTCTTAATATTAATTTACTTATTTTTGCTATAATTTAATTTAATAATTTATTTTTATATTTCCGATTCTAAAGTGGTAGTTGAGACAATTTTTTGCTTTTCTTCAGTACATTTTTATCCTAAGGAAGTTTGAAAAACATGATTAGACTTTAAATAACTTCTTTTCAGTCCTTGTATTTGAACTTAAGATAATATAGGCTCTTCATAATTATTATTTTAATATTTTATGAATGAAAGAAATAAAAATTAATTCTGATATCTTTATGTTGTTTATTACTTAATTATTAATTGGTAAGATTATGTTACAGTGCAGCAATAATTTCTTCTTGATCAATTATTAATTTCCTATTTCTAAAAAAATCAAATAGAGCATCTAGGCTTAAAAAAGTAATTAAATCATTTTTAACATCAATTAGCTCATACAAGGGAGGGTTCTCAAGAAGTTTCGACCCTATTACAACTATGTACGGATAACCGACCCTTTTTGCATCCATTAATCTTTTACCAACAGTTAAATTTAATCTATCATCTAAAATAATATCATTTTGAAGTGATGGTATTTGGTTTAATGAAGACGAAATGAAATCGACACAATTCCCGGCGGCCTTTTCCTCTTTGCTGCCCGCCTAAAATAAATTTAAATGAATTCTACTTTAAAAGCGGGGGATATAGTAACAGGTTTTTTAAAATTACATTTCTACGCATTTAAAAAAGGATTTGTACTGCGAACAAATGTAATTGTAAGCTCCAAACTCGATTTAAATGGGAACAAATACCTACTTTGGGTGGTATTATTACGACAGAGAAAGGAGCAAGTGAACTGGGCCATCGTATTTCGTGTTCTGTAGATAAAACTTCCACTACAGATGCTACTATTCTTGATAAACCCAACCCATAACTGCCCATTTGCACAGGTACCATTTCATCACTGTCTGACTTGTAAAAAGCCTTCAATGGACGAGAGTATTTGTCTCCCAAGAGAAATGTGTGACCAACCTGCAACACACCATACAAATAAATTAACAAACATAACTACAAACCAAAAAATAATAATACATGCCTCTAATCCATTCACAAAAGCAAGTTCAGTAGTGTTACTGCACTGTGGACATTTATCTCGACCAGATAACTGGACATTTGCTTTGTATCCACACTTCAAGCAGGATAACAGCTTATCTTCTCCTATTGGGGCAACATAATGGTATTCATGTGAAACAGAGCCTCCCATATTACCACTGGGGCCCAGCACTATAAAGTTACACAATAAATAGTTTTATTTATAAGGTATACACATCTTTCATAATATTTACCTTTAATAACGTCAATACCAATTTGTTTAAATATTCTATCATAACTTTGACAAATTTCATTGTACGACTCTTTGGCTTTGTCAATATTAACATCAAAAGAGTATAGATCTTTCATTACAAACTCTCGACTTCTGATTAGACCAAATCTGGGTTTCATTTCATCTCGAAATTTACTAGTAATCTGATATAGTCTTAGTGGGAATTGCTTATAGGACATCTGAGAAACAGATGCTAATAAGTCAGCAGCTGATTCTTCATGAGTCTATAAACATTTGTACAGTTTAAAATAAAAGACATAATGTACCTTGTATAAATTTACCTACTGGACTTAGTATATATGTAGCATCATGTCTATCATGAACTTTAAATAACTCAGATGAAAGCTCATCTTCAATACGACCTGAAATACCATTTAAATGTAACTATATAAGTAATTATAGATTTCTTAAACACCCACCTGATTTTTTCCACAGTCTGGCATTTGTGAGGGAAGGAAAAGTGACCCTCTGAGCATTAATATTGCTCATTTCCTTAACAACTATAGCTTTTAACTTATCGAGTATTCTAATTCCCAATGGCAGGAAATAAAAGTGACCCTGACTGGCAGGTCGTATAATTCCCAACTCTACTAATAACTAAAAAAATAAGTTAACATTATTTTCTTTAAAAAGGAATCTAAACAAATAATACCTTCTGACTTTTGGATAATGCATCTTTGTTTTCCAAATGGGAAGCTTTTGAAACAGCAGATATCGGTTGAAATAGCTTTGAAATTTTGTGAATTAGCTGCACGTTGGCCATTTGACTTTTCGTGGACCAGAAGTTTATAAAACACTATAAAAAATACAAAAAACTATTACATTTTTATGTATCAACATAAGAGGTTATGAAAAAAACAATGTGGTTATGTTTAAATGCTCTGTGGTTGAACCAGAGAGACAATTTCCAAACGCGCGAAGCTTTCAAATTCAAACATTAGGGCTGAAATCTGGATTAGATTATTTAAATATAAAAAAACTTAAGAGATATTAATGAAAAGCTGAACAAGCTAGAGTTAGTTAAGTATTATCTTTTTTTATTAATGATGATTGTAAACGAATAACTTTTTATTATTAATAACATCGTGCAAAGACGTCAACTGCACTCAAAATATCGAACAAATGTTGAATACAAACAAAACAATAAACTAAAATATTTGAAAGAATGTTAAGCGTTAAAGAAGCTGAATGCGTTGGTTTTGATTCCAAATGGAGAGTAAAAAAGTAATGCTCAACATTTGTTAGTTTTTTATCCTTTTTAATTAATAGATTGCAATTTCAGAATTGCGGCCACAAGTTCATCCCAAACCGATGAAATTTTGAAACAAAATTCCGAAACGAACACAAGTGAGAAAAAATCAATAGAGGTAGTTTATTAATTGGTATGTATTGGTGATTAAAATTTATAATTAAGTACAATAACTCCAGACCCAAACGGACGCACCGAGAATTAACTATGATGTGAAATATGACGTTAACAAGTTGGGTAATTTTCTGAAAAGAATTTACCCAAAATTAGCAGCTGAACTCGATGATGACAGCTCTTCAAGTATTTTCAAAAATTATTGTCCATTCGACGAACCAATATTTTCAAAAGCAAAAATAGTTCAGACAGTTAATGTCAATCTGGAAGTAAAGGACAATGTGGTACGTTTTTAATAATAAAAAATATTACTTAACAAACATTAAAAAGATACCCTTTAGCCCAAAAAAAATATTTTTTGAAAAGAAAAAATGACTGCAAATTTCGCTCTGTAAATTCATTAATTATCTCAAAAGAATCCAAAACATCTTCCATATTAGGGCCAAAGTAGGGAAAAAATGATGACATTAACACAGTATTAAACTTCATAAAAACTTCAGTAAGTAGTTGGCAAAAAATTAACTCTCTAAGTTTTATTATTATAAAGAAAGCTTTTATTATCTGTATCATCGCCGCTTGATTATTTTTTATCTCTTAAATCATCTTCATAATCTTTGTTAGGTGAAAATCCACCAATAAATTTTCACTCATAAAATAAATATAAAACACTGGTGTTGCTCCACACTCAGACCTATTTTTCTTTATTCAAGTTTGTAATCGAAGATAAGTGGTAGTTTCTAACCCTGCAATCGACTGTCTTTGTAAACTAGGTAGTTTAATATTGTGTTAGGGTAGTTTTTAATCCCTTTACAGGTGTGTTAGTTTATGTAAGCGCCAGCCAATACTTTTATTGATGTATGCAGTCTAAAAGTTGATAGTTCTTCAATTTATAACATCATTTGTCTCTATTTTCAGCCTATACACAAAATATAATTGAGCGCTGTGGAACAGTAACTAAATAAACACTTAAAAACTAAAATTCCACAAAACATTTAGAACACACGTTTCGACATCATCCTCACCTTGGATGTAGAAATGCATTTTAGGTTTCTAAACGTTTTGTGGAGTTTTGGGTTTTAAGTGTTACTTATTTTCACCCAAAATTAGATGTTTTTTGTGTCGAAAAATACGAAAAATATCGTATACATTTCCATATTACAAAACGCTTATTACAGTTTCGATTTCTAATTTCTCAGAAGCCAAACGTGATATTTAAATTTTGTGTGTTCTCTCATTATTAATAATCATTTATCACTTTTCGTTTCATTTCAATTATAGGCTTCAAGAGTGAATTCGTTATCTTGGAATAGTACAGGTAATACTATTGCGGTTAGTAGCGACTATCCACATCAAAACTGGTGTCACCATTTTGGATTTGTTTCGCTGTATACATTCGACAGGTAGTTATTAAACCAGAGTAACATTAAAATTATTGTATGTGGGTTTTCCCTGTCTTTTCACCGTGTTTTAGATATGAAATGTTCCCAGAAATACCAAGCAGAAAAGTAAAAACTGGCGCTTGTGTAAGAGCTGTGGCTTTTCATCCAAAATTGCCATATATTTTATCGGCTGGAACACATACAGGTTTTTGTCAATTTTTCTTTGTTCTAAACTAATAATAACTCAAAAAATTTTTTATTTTTTCTGTATATGCAAATTATAATATAGTGGTGAAACTATACATCCTCGTCTAACTCCTTTCCTAATATTTACTTCTTTCAATTTTTTACCCCCCTCAGTGACCACCCGTAGTATACATATACTAAGAGGGGATTCCTTCCCCCCTCTAGTTTTCACATAGTAGATCATTTTTCGCAAACAGAAAGTTTTGAGATTTCCCCAGAGGATATTGACTACGTGACGAAAACATTAGCCCCCCTACCCGAACCCTGTGACCATGCGTGCTATTTATTAAGACCCCCTCCCCTTCCCAAATGAGTCACGTAGTATGGGTACGTTCCCTAATTTGGTCTTGCGCATTCCCTGTTTCTTCTAAACGAAAACTGGTCATCCCCTAAAATTTCTTCCTATTTTTCATCCTTCTCCGTAAGATTCTAGTAAACTTTTCTAAGGTATGAGAAGTTAAAGTAGTAATTGTTCTGATTATGATAGGAGATATTTATTTATGGAACATTCAACACGATGAAAACGAAATGTTAGTCGATAAAATCGTCGGTCATGATGATTCAATTACTGGCATGCAATGGATTGTCAGAAATGATAAAAATGATGACATGGTTCTTGCTACGTCAAGCACCGATGGGTTTATTAATATGTGGAAATTTAGTAGTAAAGCTCACCAACTAATTCTAAAGAGAAAGTAGGTATACGTAGGAAAGTGTTTGAGCGACTTGAAAATCTATCAACTTAAATTCCCATAACTAAAACGGTTGTTGTAAACTGATTTTAATAAAGGTAAACCGAGAAAGGTCTCTTTGTGCTATAACAAAAAACAAATCGATTTTTAAACACGATTTGCCGAAACAAATTACTTCTTTGTGAATAATTTCCAGAGGAAGCAGAAATAATGGTAGTGCTTTGAACATTATAAAAAATTAGATCTTTAACTTTCATTTTCCTAGGGGATAACAAACACAAAAGTCTTAAGTTAAATTGCAATCAATATCATAGATACAACGTACCCTGTTTTATCTTTTGAATTAATCGTTACAACATATAATTTTATGCAATAAGAAGTTTTTGTCGAATTTGATAAAGGTTACCTATGACCTGATTATTAGATATTTAATATCAATGTGAAAATTAATTTAATTTTATCCACTACAAATTACCTCAAATTATTAAAGAAAAATTGTTGTTGCTATCACATCCTCGCTGGGAATATAAGCATTGATGCGTAAAGTCAAAGGTCCCGGGTTCGTTTCCCGGCGAGGATGTGACTGCAGCACTATTTTTTCCTCATTAATATTATGTAATTTGTTAATTTTACATATTAACCGCTATTCTGAAAGTATTTATAATTTTAATGATGAAGTAAAATATCTTCAGAAAAGCCAGATGTTTTTTCTTTTTCTCAAATTATTCAACTCTTTGACTCTTTGACTTTACGTTTGTGTATAAAATAAATAAAATAAAATTCCAAGAAAAACAAATTAAAAAAGAAAAATGTTCTGATTATAGATATAAAATGAAACCTCCTATTCTACAAAAGCAACCCGAAATGACTCTCGAAACTGATTTATGTAAAAGCATTGGGCCGGGAATTTTGGGCTTTCATTTTTCTTATTTCACACCAGAAAAGTTTGTTGTTGCAGCTGAAGGGGGCATAGTGGTACAATGTTCCACGCTCGGAGCTCAAACAATTATAGGTAGCTAAACATGAAAATTCTATCTAGATATTATTTATAATTTCAATTGCACTTTTCTTATGGTTGTTGATCTTTTATAAGTACAGATTTATTAAATTTCTACTGATATCTCATCCTAGGAACCACTGGGGATACCGTTCCAATACTAAACCCTTGTGTTTTGTTTTGTGAACCACACAATGATCAAATTACTACAATAAAATTTTCTCCTAATCACAAGGAGCAATTTTTAACAAATAGCGTAGACGGAGAGATACGAATTTATCTACTGGAACAGGTAAATACTTTTCAGTGGCGTAGCGTGGGATGGGAACAGAGGGTGCATGACCTAGGGGGTTGCAAATGTGGAGGACGTTATAAAATAGAGTCAGGGCTCTACCGAGTGTACCGAAGCACTATCGTCTTGGGACACAAAACTATAAATTTTAATCAAACATAAATAGTAATTAGGTATACGTACTTGGGATGATCAAAATTGGCAAAATCCGTAATAAATTATCTATTAGAATGAACGTATCTTGTTTTCACTTGGGATTGTAGTCATTTTCTGCGTTTTGAACACGCTTTTTTTAAGTTAGGAAATACTTCATGAGCAATACAGTTAAGTGAAAAGAGATAACTGAACAACAGTAAGCGGTTCAGCGATTAGAGGTACGCAAAAGATCAGGATCGGCTTTATAACTGCCTGGTTGGAATTATATTTTTAAAAAGCGTCTTTACTATCTTAAATTCCTGAGAATGTTGAACTTCCTTTAAAGTCCGATGCTGGCAACATGCTCAAATTCTACTTGTCTACATCTCTTTCTGTTACACATTAATTGGTGTAACGTTATTTCTTTTTCTTTACTGGTGTCCGCTGCAATTCCTCCCTGACATCTCTTTTCTATGTTTACGATATTCCCTACGTCTAGGGTTGCCACTAAAAACAAAAAATAAAATACTTTATTTTTATGCTGAGTACTTTTTTTTTAACCTTTTAGTCGAGAAATACTTTATGTAAAGCTTAAAAAGGTGGCAACCCTACCTACGTCTGTCATGAATAAAAGTAGACGTTCTGTCAGCAACCACTCTAGCTTAGACGGTAAATTGAAAGAAAAAAGTAAATGCGACAGTTTTATTGAGGACTGTCAATTTAAAACGTTCCAACTATATGTATGCATCAATATAAGCCTATAAGGAAAACTTTTTGTAAATAAGTACATACATTTTCAATTTTCTCTAATAATAAGCGCTATGTATCTCTAACGCTAAATTAAAAGTACAATTTTTCGTATAGGTACACTTTTTTCACTGCAACCCCCACCAATTTAAATAAAAGATTTCAATTGCGAGAATAAGAGGGGCGGTAAACTTAGGCTTCGTCTCGGGGCAGAAATTCACACTACACCACTGAGACTTTTTATAATACATATTTAATTTCGAAAATTGAGCATGATAGTATGATTAATATAGGATACACCAGTGAGAGTTATATGTTTGAAAAAGCCACTTTCGGTGGTAAACTGGGTACCATATCATGATAAGGTAATAACCGGATGTGGACGTTTTGGCTTGGAAGTATTTAACGTAATAACCAGCGAAAAATACGACGATGTTTGCGAAAATGAAGTAGACGAACTCACGCATATGGAAATTAATTCAAAACGGTAGGTTCGATACTAATTTGATATTCAGGAGTTTAATTGACAAGTAAAGAAAGATAATCCGAAACAATAAAAAATTGTTTTTGAATTAAAGATAGTTACTAGTTTATTTTAATCTTCTTCGTAGCGATATTTTTAGAAAAATTGGCGCAATTTTTTAAAACATGCATAGTTTTTAACGTAAAAAGATATAAAAAACAAACATATTTAATATTGAACAGGTAGGTGCTACGGCGAATCCCACACTACCCCCCTTCAGGGGGTATTTAAAAGATTTCCCCTCCGCGAGGCTAAACTAAACAAAAAAAAATATTGAACAGTATTGATTTAACATTAAACAATGACTGAAGAAACATACTAAATATTAAATATGTTTCTTTTCTATATTTTCTTATATGCAAGTCTTGAAAAGTTGTGCCGGTGGTGATAAGTGTACTATTTGACCTTTAAATGGATAGATCTCTGAGGAGGACTCAAAAATATCGAGCTGACAGTTTAAGAAGATGAAAATAAACTATATATCTATCGGGTTGTTCCGAAAGTCATTTCGTTTTTTCCCGACAGAGGATTTAATTGTATTCTTTTGCACCCAACTTCACATTTAAGCCGTATAATTTTTATATGCTTTGAGAGCTCGTATAGCAAGGCTTGTGTGTGAAAAATTCCAATTAATTCTACGCAGTAGTTTTTGGTTGGTGCCCTTTTAAATATGGAGAGCGATAAGCAGCATTTTCGACATATCTTACTGTTTTACTACAGAAAGGGTAAAAATGCTGTTCAAGCCAGAAAGAAATTGACTGATGTGTATGGAGAAGGTGTGTTGACAGTACGCCAGTGCCAGAACTGGTTCGCTAAATTTCGATCCGGCAATTTTGATGTCGAAGATGCACCACGTTCGGGAAGGCCGGTTGAAGCTGATAAAGACGCGATAAAGGCATTAGTTGATGTGAACCGGCGAATAACAACACGTGAGATCGGATTGAGGTTAAATTTATCAAATTCAACAGTTTATGACCACTTGAAAGGCCTGGGATTATCCTCGAAGCTCGATGTATGGGTTCCCCATGTTCTCACAGAGAGAAATCTGTGTCGCCGCATTGACGTCTGCGATTCGCTTCTCAAACGTCACGAAAATGATCCGTTTTTGAAGCGCATCATCACTGGGGACGAAAAATGGGTTGTATACAACAACGTCAAACGCAAGAGGTCATGGAGCAAAAAAGATGAACCGGCTCAAACCATTTCCAAAGCCGATATTCACCAAAAAAAGGTGATGCTGTCTGTTTGGTGGGATTTTAAAGGAATCGTTTTTTTTTAGCTTTTACCGGATAACACAACGATTAATTCGGAAGTCTACTGTCATCAGCTGGACAAACTGAATGATGCACTTCAACAGAAAAGGTCAGAACTAATCAACAGGAAAGGTGTAGTGTTTCACCAAGACAACGCGAGACCTCACACAAGTTTGGTCACTCGCCAAAAGCTTTTACAGCTTGAATGGGATACAATGCTACACCCACCATATTCTCCAGACCTGGCACCATCGGATTATTATTTGTTCCGGTCACTCCAAAATTTTTTAGACGGTAAAACCTTCACCTCAAATGAGGAGGTCAAAAACCTCCTCGATCAGTTTTTTGCCAGCAAAGACCAAAAATTTTATGAGCGTGGAATTATGCTACTACCAGAAAGATGGCAAAAGGTGTTGGACCAGAACGGTCAATATATAATTTAATAAAGTATTTGTTTATTATACGAAAACTGTCTTTCATTTCCACAAAAAAAAAACGAAATGACTTTCCGAACAACCCTATATTTATCTCCACTTGTAATATCTTTAGTTCAAAAACATTACCGTTCTCCACTTGTAAATTAAATATGTTTTCTTGTAGTCCTACTGTAGTTGTTAGTGGAACTTACGACGGTAAGATGAACTTATGGTCTATACCGTGGGCATCTTTTTCTAACTCTACAAATTAAGCTAATACTTTTATATATACATTTTCGCTTTCTGCATGTTTATATAATATACAAAATTGTGAATTATTTACAATAAACAAACTAAACAAGTTAAAGTGTGTTTCTTTTTACTACATCAATAAACAAATTTTCTATAGTCGAATTCCAAAGTTTTGGATGTAGAAGGTAATCTCCGAAACTACTTATCCGATTTCAAAAATTCATTCACCAATATTTAGAATGGACCTTCGTGCTAGACATAGGCTGTGTATTATTCGGTTAAAATTAAAGGGCTTTTAGGGAACTCAATTTTGCGACGTGTACATCCATATGTAAAGATTAATTCAAATTTGATAAAATATGACACTCATTATCACAAATTACATAAATTCCAAGCGGGAGAAACATCGGGTATAGCTACTAATTAATCAATTTCTTTAATTTTAAATTTCATTGATTTATTTGAAGTGTAAACTGGGTACTGTCTGTCCCTATGTATGCTTAAATCTTTAAAAGTACGCAACGGATTTTGATGCGTTTTTTTTTTAAAGATAGAGTAATTCAAGAGGAAGGTTTATATGTATAATACATGTATAATATAGTAGAGAAACACTGATAATTTTGGAGGTTTCTAATTTAATGTCGTAAATAAACACATTTACATTGCGCTTACATTGCAAACGTTGGCTGAACCCTACGAAATAGATCAAAATAATGCACTACAATATTGTACATCTTAAAAGGGTCTACAAAAAAGTCAGCGATGGTATATGTCTATCTCTTAAGGATAACCCACAATAACCATTTTTTATCCTTTACGTTTTATGAGAAATAATGACTTATTTACGAAGCGATTTTAAGCAATAAAGGATTAATCCTTATCCATAACCCACAATAACCATTTTTTATCCTTTACGTTTTACGAGAAATAATGACTTATTTACGAAGCGATTTTAAGCAATACAGGATTAATCCTTATCCAATTAAGTACTTTTAAATACATTGTGCATTTAATATAGATCAATATGGCCCTTTACAGCATGTAATTTAAATGAATATTTTCGAAGATATTACAGACTTAAAATGCAGGGACATAGCGGTTATGGCGGTACCGGCCGGTTTGTATTGTCTAGTGACAAAAAACTGTAAATGTATATAAAGACATTCAGTAGTATATTAAGTATCAGCATTGCACCCTTGCGAAGCTGGGGCGGGTCGTTCGTTGTTTATATATCTCAGATATACTTTTGCCATGGTTACTTTTATGTTTACTATTACCATGTCATGTTAAGAAACTAAACTTTTTTCAAGAAGTATTTACAAAATGTCTATTTTAAAAACATTCGTTAGAAGTAACATCATCCTGAAGTTGCCAAAAAAAATTATTAAACGAAACGCCTCCAAATGGTTCCCTGACGTTAAGTTTTTGGAGCAATTCGACGGCCCTGTAATGTACCCCAATGAAGAAGTCAGTGAGTTCTTTAGAACAAGGAGACCTTTTTATGACAAACCAAAAGTTCCGGAAAGAAAAATTAATAACATTACCTTAAATTTTGGTCCTCAACATCCATCCGCTCATGGAGTTTTGAGACTTATATTAGAGTTAGAAGGAGAGGTTAGATTTTTAATTATGGGATTTTTTCCTAGGAAATGTATAAAATATTGTTAATGTTATCAAAGATTTTATAACTGTCTAAATATCCCGGGAAATGTATACATTTCCGATTGCTATTCAGGAAATATGTCTAATATAATTTATTTTACACATTCCCGGGCGATTTTAGGAATTTCCTAGGAATTGTATACAATGACGTATTACGCACATCTCCGTTAACATATATACTTACAAAAGCAAACAAATGTTGTAGCTGGTTCGCAAAGTTATCCCCCATATTGGCTTACTTCATAGGGGCACAGAAAAAATAATGGAATATGAACACTTTTTACAGTGTGGTCCATTTTTGGATCGTTTGGATTATTGTTCTGTTTTATGTTGTGAACATACTTATTACTTAGCCATCGAAAAACTGATGAAGATCGAAGTACCAAGGAGAGCAAAATATATAAGGGTAATGATGTGCGAAGTAACCAGGTCTGTATGCGTTAAAGTATAAAGGAAACTACTTTAATTACAAATCTTCGAAGACTTTTGAATACAGATAATGTTTTATTTTTCTTTTTAGGATCATAAACCATATTTTGGCTGTTACATGCCACATTTTAGACTTAGGGGGGCTTAGCCCTTTATTTTGGCTGTATGAAGAACGTGAAAAGTGTTTTGAACTCGTCGAAAGATGTTGTGGAGCTAGATTTCATGCCAATTATTTCAGACCAGGGGGAGTTAGCCAGGTTAATAGAAATTAATTAATCTTGGGAAGGAGGAAGTGAATAATGAGAAAATAAGAATAATTTGTTGTTAATATATTAATAATAAAAAAAGAAAGTATTGCACTGACCTCAAATATAAAAAATAATTATTTTAAATCATCCCCAAATCTGAGCATGCTAATCTGTTATTTTGACCCTAAAGTTACTTCGTCTTTAAAAATATTAATCTCATATGTTTTCCATTTCTTTAACCCCTAGTTTGGCCATGAATAAGCAAAGAATCTAGACAGTTAAGGGTTGAAGGTTTATATTTGTGTGTAGAACTAAGAACCGACGTTTCACCTCTAATCAGGAGACTTTATCAAGGTAGATTCTTTGCTTATTAATCTCATCATCAACACCTTCACATCCCTTGATGGTAAATGAGATGTAATAAATTACAAAACTTGTATTTAAGGATATACCTATTGGACTAATGGCCGACATATACGACTTCATAAAAAAATTCCCGGAAAGACTTGACGAGACCGACGATTTGTTAGAACAGAATCGAATTTGGAAATTGCGCACCAAAGATAAAGGAATAATAAATGCAGAAGAAGCTATTAATAACAGTTTTAGGTACCTGCTCAATTAGATCTTATCATAACTTTTAAGCAATTATTTTTTAAGCGGTGTTGCACTCAGGGGATCTGGCGTTAAATGGGATCTTAGAAAAACACAACCTTATGAAGTTTATGACGAAATGGAATTCGACGTGCCTATTGGAATAACGGGTGACATGCATGACAGGTAAAATGGATAACAAATTGGTAAAGGTATTGTTTTAATTCGGGCCTAAAGGCCGTCGTATGTTGGAATTGTTTCTTAACGTTTTGCTGACACAAGTGGCGACCTTCTTCAGCCTATATCCAGCATGGGAGATCTAAAGAAGCTCGCCACTCGTGTAGCATCAGAAATTGGATGAATTTTCTAATATGATTTATCTTCCTTGTGAAGATAAAGGGGAGTATAAAATTAGAAAACTCACCCTGTATATCACTATCACTATATAGTATGAAACAAAGTCACTTCCCGCTGTCTGTCCCTATGTATGCTTAGATCGTTAAAACTACCCAACGGATTTTGATGCGTTTTTTTTTAATAGATAGAGTGATTTAAGAGGAAGGTTTATATGTATAATACATGCATAATGTAGTAGAGAAACACTGATAATTTTAGAGGTTTGTAATGTGATGTCATAAATAAACACATTTTTTGCGCTTACATTGCAAACGCTGGCTAAACCCTACGAGATAGATCAAAATAATGTACTACAATATTGTACATTTTAAAAAGTTCTGCAAAAAAGTCCGCGATGGTATATGTCTATCTCTTAGGAATAACCCACAATAACCATTTTTTATCTTTTACTTTTTACGAGAAATAATGGCTTATTTACGAAGCGATTTTAAGCAATACAGCATTAATCCTTATCCAATTAAGTATTTTTAAATACATTGTGCATTTAATATAGATCAATATGGCCCTTTACAGCATGTAATTTAAATGAATATTTTCGAAGATATTACAGATTTAAAATGCAGGGACATAGCGGTTGCAGCGGTACCAGCCGGGGGGGGGGGCGGTTTGTATTATCTGTTGTATATAAAGACATTCAGTAGTATATTAATTATCAGCGGCATGGCCTAGAGGTTTAGACCATTACTTAGCATTCGGGAGGACGCCGGTTCGATTCCGGGTCCGTCTGCCCTGGTCCAAGTTTTCCTGTGGTTTCCTTGGATCACTTAGGCAAATGCTGAGGCAGTAATATTCCACAGATAATCTTTCACTCTCTTCTGTCTTCATTTCGTCCGTCTCAACTTTCTCACCCGAATTACCACCCACCCATTCCCACGATTCCTGAAAGCAGGCTGAAGAGGGCCTTCCGCCCTACCTTCCGGCATAGTCCGGAGGGACTGCCCGCCCACCAGCATTACTGGCTGGTGGGAATGAAACACCCAAAAGTTTTTAGTTTATTAATTATCAGCAGTGCACCCTTGCGAAGCTGGGGCGGGTCGTTAGTCGTTTTATAAAAAGTTTAACTTATAGTTCGTTTTGTTAAATATGTTTTTTAATTATTTCATTATTAAAGCAGATACTTGAAATTGAAATACCGATGTACATTGTACACTCCAGCAGGCATCGACGGTAACTATGTTCTGTTCGCAAATTCAATTGCTATAATGTTATTTCTTATTAGATGCTTTTGATTGGTTATTGCTCTCCGCGTCAATTTACCTGCCAACCAGTAATAAATTAGGTCAAACAATAACAGTGCGTTTATGTAATTTAGAATGCATTTGCAAATAATGTCATTAACTTTGTAAAAGCACTCCAATTTACTTTTTAAATCATGATATTAAGGTAAAAAGTTGGGAAGGTAACTTAGACATTGATTTTAGTGGGGGATTCACCAAAATTTAAGTACGATAATTTTAAAACAGAGTTAAATACAAAAATAATTACACAAAATTTTCGTAATGTATCTACACTGTACTAAAGTAGTAATTTACACGGCAAAAGAAGATGATAATGTCTTAATTAGTGGTTACAGAATCGACACCAGCGTTTCGCCTTTTGTTTGGAGGCTTACTCAAAACTAAGAAATGTATAAATAATAGTTATTACAATTTTTTTGTTACAACACCTTTATTACGGGTTTATCTTTATTTCACTGTAAAAGTGTCTTTATGTTACCACACGATTTTTAATTACTTTAATAATTTATTATTTTATATATACATTGTGCTTCCTTTTGTGAAGTTTTTAATTATTCATCTATTTATTACTTTAATGCATTGTGTTGTTGAATTTTAACATTCACATGAATATGTGCCGATTGTAGACACCGATTATTTATAAACATTTAAGAGAACCTAGTAAGTGTTATATTCGGTACAACTATTATTTATACATTTTTTAGCTTCGATAAAGACTCCCAACAAGAGGCGAAACGTTGGTGTCGGTTCTATAAACAATAAAGACTTTATCACCCTGTTTTGCCTTAATTCTTTTGTTCTCATTGAACTAGGGGAAGAAATGGTAAATTGATGTTGTAATTTACATTTTGGTTTGGGTGATTTTTCGCTTTTAAAACAATAATGAATGAGATTTCTCTTTTCGAAACAACTCAAGTTATTCATTTAAAATTTGCTAAAAAGAGTATAAAAATATGTGGTGTTGTAGATATAAATGTCGCATGGAAGAGATGAGGCAATCCTGTAGAATTATAGAACAATGTATCAATAAAATGCCCCCAGGAGAGATTAAAACGGATGATTGGAAGGCTTGTCCACCAAAGAGACGCGAAATGAAGGTAATACTGTATCTTAAGAACGACAATCAATTTAATACCTAAGCGTATCAACTAATGCTGTTCTAATTCAGGTCTAAAGTCGTCGTGTATTGACGTTGCTTCCTAACGTTTCGCTAGCACGAGTGGTGAGCTTCTTCAGAAGTCCTTCCATCTCCGATGTTGGGTACGGACTCTTCTGAAGAAAACGTAAAACTTTTGGGTGTTTCATTCCCACTAATGCAGGTGGGCGGGCAGTCCCTCTGGACTACGCCGGAAGGTAGGGCGGGAGACCGTCTTCAGCCTCCTTTAAGGAATCGTGGGAATAGGTGGGTGTTGGTTCGGGTTACAAAAATGAGACGGACGAAATGAAGACAGAAGATAATGAAAGATTATCTGTGGAATATTACTGGCACAGCATTTGCCTAAGTGATCCAAGGAAACCACAGAAAACCTTGGACCAAGGCAGACGGACCCGGAATCGAACCGGCGTCCTCCCGAATGCTAAGCAATGGTCTAAACTTCTAGGCTACGCCGCTCGTTCTTCAGAAGAAGTTGACCACTCGTGCTAGCGAAACCTACTGGCCGCGAAGCCTTTACCAATTTGTCTAATATTTTACAGACGTCAATGGAAGCCCTGATCCACCACTTCAAGTATTACACACAAGGTTTCCAAATCCCACCGGGTGCAACATACACTGCCACTGAAAATCCGAAAGGTACACACCATCTTACATGATAACGCTGAGGATATTATATCTTGATGGTTTTATTTTTCAAATCTACGCTTATTTATAGGTGAATTTGGCATATACTTGGTATCGGATGGCGGTTCTAAGCCTTATCGATGCCGACTTAAATCTCCTAGCTTTACACATCTAGCGGGAGTAGGCATAATGTTGGACAAAAATGCATTTTTAGCAGATGTTGTTGGTTACCTTGGTAGTTTGGACATGGTATTCGGATGCTGCGATCGATAACATATTTTGTATTTTTACTATTTTTGTATTTACCTGCCATTTATATTTAATACAGCAAAATAAACAGAAAATTTTACATTTTGTCTTGTTTTTCAAATAAAACCAATCGAAATAGTCAAGTTATGAAAAAGTAATCATCTCTCGGAGTAAAATTAGGACATTCAATGGGTAATATTAAGAAAGTATCTTTTTGTGTATTTTAAAACTTCTAATTATCCCCAATTCCGTTTATACCTACACAATTTGACCTACGGTTAATAATACAAAAATATATTACTAACAGCAAATTAACAAATTTAAACTAAAAAACTTAAAAGCAAAGGAAAGCTAAACCCGGAACGACAAACTTTATCGTTCATCATTGCATTGTTCATTTTCCAGAAGTAAATCGGAGAAAGAAGGAAGAAAAATGGAAGTTGTTTAATCTAGGGGAAGAGGTAGGAAGAGTTAAAATATTTTGGTTTTGGTTTAAAGCGAGAATTGTTAACTAGTACGAAGAAAATGACCGATAATAATCGGAATGGCACAACAGACTGCAAATGTAACATAGAGAAACTTTAAAGGATCAGGAAGAGGTATTGCAAACCAAATAATATTTTTAATGAACTTGTTAGTAAGGTTGATAGCTTTTCATGCAGTCGAAATTTGGGGACGAAGAGGGTACTGTGCATGCTACATGCGGGAACATGTATATTAATTTTGAGAGTGTCAAAGAACACTCCCAAATATAGGGAGAGCAGATTTAGGAGTAAACTGTATCAGACTATCATTAGATGTAGATATTTGTGTGTGGAGTGTAGGGATGAGTAATGACATGTTGCTTAAAGTACGCCTATTAAAGGAAGTAAGACCAATTCTGAATATTAATCTTCCAAAATGTAGTGAAAATCAAAAATAAAAAAGTATAACCTTTCTTCATGAGTGGAGAGGTGAAAGAAATGATCTGGATCTGGGAAATTTAGTAATAGACTATATAAGGGATAACTTAATACCGAAGATATATGATTTTTTCTATCAAATTGAGAGAATATCTCGTCTGGTTGGACACGCATCTCTACCCTTTCCTATCCTGAGTTAATCTTCGCATTTCCCTAAAACTAGAGTAGCCCATATCCTTAACTATTTGCGAACAGTAATCTAGGTCTACCTCTACTCCTATTAACTCCTGCTTTTGTCTCTGACTAGAACTTCATTCCTGAGAAGGTGTCCTACCTACCTATCTCGCCTATTTCTTGTTGACTTCCTTGAAGTCCCCTGTTCAGCTATTCTTTCTAATACATCTTCATTTCTAACCTTTCTCTATCAACGATATCCCCATCATAGAGAATACCTACACAATTTAATATGTAAGAGCAATTTTCTGCTATAAAAGCCACATCGATATGTTGAAATGAAAAACATACCTATATTTCATATTGTTTGGCCAAGCAGTAAGGTATAAGATGTGAGGAAATTGCAAAAACTTCGACAAAAATTATACTCATAATATTAATAATATCTACATTGTTCGTTTTTTTCTTTTCCCAAAAAATTGAACGACCAAAATCCAATTTTTTCGCTGTAGAAAAGGGTGCACTTTTTCAAATAAACAAATGTTTTTAAATTTAAATAAATATCTTTCTTATACATATACTTATTTAAAGACCTGTTTGTTTCTAGATAACAAATCAATTTGAAAATTGAATTTCATGAGACTGTATACAATTGCGTTAATATTTATAAGGTTTGGCAAACTTCAATTGATGAACAAAAAGTGTAAAATAACCCAAACTGGTAGAAATAATAAAACAGATACTGCGAATCGTCAATTGTTCAATTGTTCTTCGTTATGGTTTTGTATGTAACAATAGCCGATAAAACAATGTTATTTTGCGTGTAATCAAAGCTTACTTTTAACTTACCTCTGCGTTAATGGAGAAGTTGATTAATCGTTCTCAGACGCGAAATGGAATGTTGTTGCGGAAAAATACAAATCACATTAAAGTCAATGGTCACTTATAACGCACTGATTATAATGTTCTTAATGCAACAAAGAAACTATATCACGTCAATTCGTAAATTGTTTTCATTTTCAGTTAAAATTAAATGCTCGAATCGACTGGCTCGCATGACCAGATTACGCGTCCACTTTACTGATACTGGGTAATGGAATCCTAGGATCTTTTCCCTTTTTCATATAAACACTGATACCTCTGGCGACATCTGACTATTATGTTACTAACATTGACTAAGGTCACGGTTTATGTTAACATACAGGGTCTTAACGAAAATAAATAGTCACATAGGTACATAAAATTCGATTATTTGTGAAAAAGGATAAGTAAAAACATTCCTTGTAGATAAACAAACTAAAATTATTGTAAAATTTCTTAATAATAATCTGATTTATCTGAATAAAAATTGTATAAAAAATGAATATAGGAAAGTAGAGGACCCCGTTATGAATTTACTAAAACAGTTTGATTTTTTATAGTTTAAAACGTGTTTCCTATTTTTTTCCACTAATATTTGTATTAAGTAAGAAAACGTATTGGTATGTAAGGGAAGGGAAGGTAGATCTAAAGTTAATATGAAAGGTTCAGACCAAAAATTGGCTCAAGAATACCTTAAATGATCCTTTATAGGGAAACCAAAACGACCCGCATACGTACGTATGTACATACCTCTCTTCCACGAAAACAAAAAAAGATTAAAAACTAGAAATAAATGATCTTCGATTTCTAATAAGTCATACAATTCAGGATCGAAAAAGCGGTAACATAAACAAAAAAAAAATGCAAAAAGATGGGTGATGGAACATTTCGTGGTTAAGAAAGGTTAGAAATGAGAAGGTATTGGATTAAATGGGAGATCATAGCGGTAATAAAGAATAGGAATAATTTTCAGACATAAGGGGTTTGATTGGAGAAGAATTAAAAGTAGAAAAAGGAGTAAATAGAATCGGAGGAAACAGTCAGGGATGTAGAAGGTTCTAATCTTAGGGAAATGTGAATTTGGTTCAGAATTGAGAGGAATGAGGGAATAAAGGGAACAAAAAAAATACTGATACGTTTATAAAAACGTACCTACTTACCATTTTCAGTAATTCTTCTTTATCGGTTGTTGAAATCAAACAAAAAAAATACACCAGTTGTAACAATTTATTTACAGACAGAAAGGCAAATTTAATATTTTTTATTTTTATTTACTAACATCAGCTCATTCCTATGACTAGAAACTCTATCTATGTGTAAATAGGTCGTTTGTAAACTACGATTTCATTGAACGAATTTTTCGAAAGTCGAAGAATATTTTCTTTCAGTTATAGTAAAAGTATAAGACTAAAAATTTGGTAGTGCCTGACTGGCCAACGACGTTTTGGTATTAAATATATAATATCTTAGGAATGTTATCGGAAACCCCCAACAACCAATGCCCAACGTTCTAGCTAAAATTATAACAAACAGATTGCCTCTTAAATTCTACAAACAAAAATATTCGTTAATTTAACAGGGTGGATAATTACGAAATAATAATAGCAGTAATAGTAATAAAAAAAATGGATTAATTAAATAATAATATCCTTATACGCGTACCGTTATATCATATAAACTTAGATAAATCTCTTCTTTGCAAAGATAAGCAAACTTCACGGGTAATAAAATAAATAAATAAATAAGTTTAGAATTCATTTCTTCAAAAGTTGACTATTTTTCACTTTCATTCGTCTGACTATTCTTAACTCGCTGCTGTTTCACACAATTACTACATTTCCGTCGTACCTCTCATATTAGTTTCGAGCTTATTAACAGATCTTTGGTAAAAAAATTAAAACTGTAGAAGATAATAACTATTCAACAAGTATTAATTAGTAACGATTCGAGGACTCCCATGCTTATTCGCGCGATAGATAATTAATTATATTCTTAATTTCTTCATCGTTTTCATTTAATTTATTTCACATTTTCAGACTTTTAAATCCGCTATCTTCAAAGTGGAAGCACTTCGAAAAAACATTGATGTCCTTTCACGATTTATACGTGCGTATGACGTCCCTTATTACGGCCCTGCACAAGGGACAATGTCCGCCCCCTTTACCCCGCCACTGTTGCAAAGCGCACTCGTAACACATACACATATGTCCGCACATATACAGCACCGAATCTACAGGGTGCTCATAACAAATTGTACATTCCGCCCCAGCGCCAGTAGGACGCTCGTGTTCTGAACGGTGGTGTGGTGGTATCGTCGAATAAGCACTTCCAGAAATTGGCTGAAAGTAAAAGAAATGCTATAAAACCAACCAACTATCATACTTCGGATGATTTTTAAAGATAATATCAGTGGCGGCATATTGATATGACACGCAAAAGCATTTAAAATTGATCATTGGTCTACACAATTCTCACTTTAATTCATTCCTTCTGAGATATTACACATTATTAATAATCCTAGACCTAGAGCATAGATACAAATGATTATCATTACTGGAGCAATTGATTGTATCTGCTCGTATTTAACCAAATTTTATCATTCTTGTCAAATGTCAATATACATTTATGGAATTTTTAAAGAAATGACTTAACGTATTCTTAAGGCCCATTGGAAATCATTAAAAGTTATCTATGCCTAAACATAAGCTCAAAGTTTCACCATTATTATTTTTAGAGATTAACAAGAACCAAACTTATTTATTTTTAATAAGAAAGACCTGTGTAGACGCGAATATCCCTGTGACTTTAGTCTCTTGCCGCCACCGACTAAGACACATAATTAATACCATACTATGGATAGGGAAAGCCAGAAATGAATAAGTATTAGAAAAAATAAGAGAACAGAGGACTCTATGAAAGTCAATAAGAAATAGGCGAAATAGTTAACGATGTGGGTTTTCTAGTTTTGGGGAAATGCGAAAATTAGCTCAGGATAGGATAGAGTAGAGGTGCGTGTCCAACCAGTCTTAGGACTGACGACCTTATGATGATTATAAACTTACCTCTATGTAGGTGTTGCTATAGGTAGAGAGCATCGTAGCGGTCGGTACTGGGGCAACTGCATTGAAAGAGGGATGAACCACAGCTGGTATACTTGGTAGAGATGGGGACAAGGGTCCTGCGGTGGTAGCTGCAACCACATGGTGATTGGAATGAGCGTGACCACCAGGTTGGCTGGATCCATGATGACTAGAATGATTGTTACCGTTTTGGCTGTAAACGGAATTTTGAGACGAATGATGCGAGTGATGAGATGCAACCCGGGCGTTCTCTTGGTTTATGATGCTTGCATGAGCAGGAGGAAGAATAACGGAAAGTACAGCACCCCCGTTAGCACTAGGTTGCACTTGAACATCAGCTGGCGTAACGCAACACAATCGAGAGTTGTTTTGCTGAACACTAGCCGAATTTCGCCTTAGTTCTGACTGACAGTTGATGCTGTTCATGGATTCGGAGGATGTGGGCGATACGATACGTCTGTCCGGATTGCTCCTAACGGGAGACGTACTCCCTACACAGCTCAAAACTCGAATACGTTGCGTGGACCCGTAAATGTCAAAAAAAGCCCACAACCTAAGCGTCTGATCCACGTGGATAACAACGGAAGGGGTTCCACCGTTTCTACTGATTTGAACCTCACCACTGGGCGAAATGCAAAAACTGATTTCATCGCCACGATTGAGGTGCCTCGCAAAATCCCTACTTATCACCCAATATTCCGGCCTGTCTAGGAGGAAGTTCGAGTCGTCTGGGAGATCGCTGGGTTGAAGTGTTGCGGGATCGCAAGAAGTGAGACCCAAACCTAAACAACCTTGGAACATAGACTCGGTGGACAGAATTTGAATGACCATCCTTTCGCCTAATTGAACTGGCCTCGGAGTAAAGACATACCCCTGACAGAATTCTGTGTCTGTTCGAGATGCCATACTTCGATTACTATTAAATTTAACATTTCGACCCTTTGTTCGATGCAAAGGAACAGGAACAAAATTGAGGTTAGCTGGTTGGTAACGTAAAGAGGGTACGTGAACATCGTCGTTTTCGCGAGGATGAATGTGAACGGCTTGCATGGGATAGACGATACGATCGACCTCATCGGGGGTCGTGTCGCCCCCATTCAGAGCCAAATTGCGACGGTTATTGTTCAACTGATGACGAATATCGACGAATTCGATTGCGGTTGAATTACCATAAACGTCTATGAGAGCCCATATGGGACCCCTAGTTTCTACTCCGCTGAAGAAAATTCCCTTTTCTTCCCCGTTTATACCGAAATGAACGTCGCCTGCCGCGGTAACGTAGTAAAAAAGGACGGTGTTCTGACTGCAGAAACGTTCAGCGAGGGCTTTCGCCCAGTAACCCGGCTTATTCGTAAGATCTGGACAAGCGTATTTAGGAAGACCGAATCTTAAAGTACTAGGATCGTTAGAAGTAAAACCGAAACGTATAACGCCGCTCCAGTTGTTTGAAATTTCCAAAAATTTTATGCATACCTGAAACGAAAGAAAAAACAATCCTAGACCATTCGATAATATAATTAGGGAAACTGGAAATTTAGGGATAATAATGAAACTTTACTGAAAAAATTAAAAATATAGATCTAGACATTAATGATATATCTGTCGCGTTATCCATACAATCTATTTTAAGGCGATGATGGAGAAGTAATATCATTCATTAATAATGCTTTGATCCTGTATCTTAAAATTTAATTTTTGGGTATTCATCTTTAAGAGAATTAATGTAAGATATTAAAACAATAATGTAGTATACTTTTAGTCTTTTACTATTGAACTACATACCTTTTCGTTGACTTTAACAGGCCTTGAACTGAAAGCAATTCCTTTACAAAAGCTTTCAACTCGTCGGGCAACCGTCCCATCCCTCGATATTCTTATATTTTCTCCGTGGACGTTGTGAAAAAGTAAAGGGGGTAAGTTGTTGGTCCCTCCGATGTGCGAACTGGACCTAGACACTGCAAGAAACAGAATATCTCCATGCAAAAATTGAAACGGAAGATTTAATAGAATACATATTATGAGTTCAGGAAGCAAACATTCAACCAAAACGAAACGAATGGTCAATTTTTAATATTAAAGGTAAAAGTGGTTTTGGGGTCATTTTTTTGTTGTTTTGGTAAAGTATTCTAGCAAAAATTCGTACCAAAGCATATGTGAAATGTGTTTTCACATTATATATACGCATTTTCTATCATTTGAGGTCACGTTCCAGGTGTAATATAGAGGTATATATCTGCAATATGGCATGGGGAGACAGCTGCAACGTCGTCACCCTAACTGCTACGTTGGGGTGCTTGCCCCCAGGTATCCGGTATTACACACTATTTTCGGCTTCATGTATAAGAAATTCCACCAGCAAAAATGATCAGCAGATATATTCAGACAATTTTATCTTTCGAATCATTTAAATACAGATATTCATCCCAAAATGTCATAAGTGTCTACCAAAAGACCAGATAATAAGAATTAACGTATATTTTGTTATCTTATGGGCAATAAAAGGCTTTATAAGGATTTCATAAAGTTTTTATTAACTTGGTACATTTCTACGTATGTGTTTCGTCCAACATTAGCATCATTAGGGGAAAATAGTTATTTCTTTACAAAAATACTCGAATAGGTTGTAAACAAGAAGGTGTTTTTACAAGCTTTTAAAACTTAAAGGGGAGGGAAATTAATACATCATGTTTTATTCACTTAGTTTATTAAGAAATAATATTCAGAAGCAACTATTTTTGTCCTGATAAAGTTAATGTTTGGCGAAACATATGTAGGTATCAAAGTTAACAAAAATTGTATGAAATATTTCAATTTGGTCTGATGAAGTTAATATTTGGCGAAACATTATATGTAGTTTTTCGTCGATGTTATGATTAGATTGTCACTAACTAAAAGTTGAAGCAACTACCTTATTGATTTTGATGATTGATGGTTCCGATTCCCACATAGAGATAAGAATGGAGGAAAAGTGAATTCATAATATTTACCAAAAAGAAAATTTAACGAAAATAATGCTTTACTTGAAAGTCGTTTATGTCACAGCCATTGAGGACATTTTATGAAGACTGCGGAAGTGCGTTGTTCTGTACTGTATTATTTTGTTATTATTCTGTGCAGTCCCAAGGGTGTACGAGTGGCAAGAAAAAGTAAAAAGGTGGAAAATATGTGAGGATAAATTAATAACAACTTTCTTTACTTTGTTACGCAGTAAAGGTAATGCGATATCATTGTTCGGGGAACATCGCTCTCGCATTATATTCGATCTTGTACACACGTGTTAAACTACTACGTATCCGGTTGTTACCGGAAGCCAGACCGATTGTTAAACCGTCGCCAACAATAACACCCGTAACGACCATCAGTCTTTGACATACGGGGTGGTTTAGGCAAACCGCGAAGTCTCGATAACTAACTTATCATTCGTAAACCAAATAAAAATCATTTAACCATTTTACTTATCCAAAACTAAAGATGATGAAACTAGATGAGGAAATGTTAGAAGGTGATGGAAAGAGGTAAAATTAAACGACATAAAGAAATAATATAACTGAAAATGAGGAAATTATCTGCATCTATAGTGATCTGAATCGGGAAAACCTAAAAAACATGACGCAAATTAGAAAATGATTGACACCATCCATGATTCTGAAGCACGTTTTAAATCGTAATTATAACATAAGTATGACAAAATTTGGAAAAAAAACCATCAGGCTTAAGAGTCACAGAAAATCTCAATCTCTTCTGCATCATTGCCCCAATGACTTAGATGTCGATTTGACCCATGTCTACCCAGTCGTACGGACGGCTGGGTGTCTTCTGAAGATTTCACCTCTTCCACGAAAACATAAAAAAAAATTTGACCCAATTTCACTGTTAGGTTTGCTTTAACAAGACTGCAAAGGAAGCCGATGTACGGTATCATTATAATCTCCCTGCAGTTTTGAGAAACAAATTTTTGTGGAATTTGTATCCAAAGTTGGATACAGCTTTACACTCTGGTCGCAAAGCGTTCTGGAGAAGAAGCTTTGTTTGTTTAAAACAAGTGAGTGAGCAAATTATTATTATTATTGAGATTTTCATAATCCCGAAAAAAATATATTTTTGTCTCTTCTACTGACAGACGCAAAAATAAAGAACACCACAAACTACGATGATATTACCTAAAGATTATTTTGGGAATAAAAAGTTACGCAAAAAAGTGCCATTCGTATTTTATTTTACACTTTTATTTTACGACTAATTCATTCAATCTTTTCAGTTTTCAACACCTACATAATCTACCCCCTTACACACTTAAAATTACAAAATTGTTTTTTATCTACTATTTAATTAATATAGAAAGGTATTAGGACGGAACAGTATAAATTAGCCTATTATATTTAAGAAAAGTATTAATCCAGAACTAATAGGCAAAATTACGATTGCCCGTTATAACAAGTTGAGTTTTGTCACAATGCCATGTGGTGTTCGTTTATTTGGCAGATTTTAATTGTAAGATTAATCACTATTTGTTATTGGTTTGAAAAAAAAAAGTAAAAATCGCGACTAATGAAGAAAAAGACATCTTCTTGTCGAAACTTTCCGGAAAATTGTGTTGAAGATGATCGACGGAGGAGTGCAGAGGCCCGAGGAGTGAAGGGGGATTGTGGAAGGTTGATTAATCTCGTCAACTGTAGTTTATATACCGGCAAAGTTGTTTCCCACGGCCCGGAATCCATACCTGAGATGCTGCTAAAGAATTAACAACTCTCACTGTTGTTGTTGCTCCTTTTCTCATTCGAGCGTTCATCTTCGTCCCACTGCAGTGTTACAGTGCACGTAGTATGTAGGCACGTTTTACTGAACGTAGTAGATTGGTACATTACGAGGAAACTGCTTTGTTGTACGTATCTGTTATTTGCCGTTATACGAGCTTAAAATATAGTAGCGTGACGAAAAAAAGAAAAGAAAATTGGCCCACAACTTTTTTTATACATGTACCGTCGTCGATAATAGGAAAACTTCTGGTCGAATTAAGGTGAAAATAATTACGATGGTAGTGGTAAGTTAATGAATCGGATCCAAATCCAGTGTTAATAACCAATGATGCGCTGCAGACTATGTTAAAATTAAGATAATAAATATACGTATGGCTTGTTGAAAAGTTATATTTGAATTTGTGAATTAACTGACATGCAAGTGTATCTGTTACTTATTATTATAATTAAATAAAATATCAGGTTGTTACGTAAAAATATTACTATGCCTCAAGAATATGCATTAAAAATTTCCAAATTATTAGGATACTGAGTCTACTTTTCAAATGAACCCGTTCAAAGACCATTGCAAAGGGAGTTTAGGTACCAATCTTATACCTAGACCAACGCTTGGCAACTGGTGGACATGGTGCAGGTCCGGACCGCGGTAGGTCAAAAAATGGACAGTCAATTATTTAAATAAAATATTTTATTAATATTTTTCTGTAGAGAACAAAGTATGTCTGAGCTTTGAGCACCACAGGAAGGAATATATTTCTTCTGGACCTCGATATAGATTTTCATAAATATCCGGATCGCACCTAAAATTACTTGCCAATCCCTGACCAAGAAAAACGAATTCGCATAACAAAAAGACAATGTGAACTACTTAGTAAGTTTGGTTTCCGAAATTATCGAGTACCTAGATTCGATGGAAAAATAAATTAAAATCAGAAACTCTATGTAAGGATCACTTTCTCTAGCTTTTTTATGTTCATAGGTCCTTTTAATAAGGATTTGCCTGTTTCATAATTCTATTCTAATATGCGTTTGAGAGATGTTCTGCTAAATTATAATAATCAATATATATTATAAAAGAAAGGGTACAGTGTACGTGCCGCTACGATCAGGGGAGTTTTATGGTGTGGTCCATGAAAAAGGTTCCCGTTATTTCCTGCAGCACGTGCTTTTGAAGATAAAACGGCTGGAAGTTTCGCCCTCTAGAAAAACATTGGACAGTATTCGAGAGCATTACACAACATTCCAGAACACTATAGAATGTTGCCGAATATTTTGGAACATTGTGGACCATTCAAACCCTTTTTTTTGTATGGGTGGAACTACCTATTGGTTTCAACGTTCGGGAACATACCCGGACATTGTGGAATGTCGTGGAATGTTAGCGAAAAGCCTGGAATGTTCCAGAACACTCTCGAATGTAGTAGAACTCGAACCCTTTTTTGTATGAGTGTTGGCCACCGATGTACCTTATATATCTACCACACAATCACTACCCATAAACTCCCTGAGCGAATCCGAGTACCCCAGCCAGCATAATATAAAAGAACAGTTTTCCACTGATGTAATTTAGTTGCGTACTCATAATAAAAATGAGTGTCAATTTCACTTTTATCTTTACAAAACATTAATTTTAATGTTCATGCAACATTTGTCGTCTGTATTTCCTGTGTTTTGTGGCTGTTACAAAACCGCAAAAATTCTACAATGGCTTTTGTAATAGCAGACAATTTCTTATTGTTTTGCGGAAATGAATAGATAACAGCCACCGTTAAGGATTATAATGGAAAACGCTTTAACGCTATTTAAAATTGTCATCCACGGATTCACTATTCGTTAATAAGTACACAAAATGTGGGTGCAAAATTATCTTGTTTATATGTACGACTATCTCACACGAGAAAAATTTAGTTCATCAGGTCGTGCACTATTTGATAAGAGAAAAAAAGCGATTTAAAACGCAATATTAATACAACACTACATTGTTTGACTAAGATTTAACAGTCGTTCAACTAATTTTTATTATTTTTTTTTTAATGACAGTATACATTACATATAAAAACACATTACTTGTTTTACTATTTGAAAAAACTAAGCTGCTGTGCCAAAAGGAATTCTTATAATATGTATAAATGTATTCTTATTGTAAATTCTTAGTTTGTATAAAGAGCAACAGGCAGTTATAAAGCTAGGGATGCAAC